CTGCTGACCATTACCATCATCATCACTCATTACTTACTGCTCTGTTGACCATTACCATCATCATCACTCATTACTTACTGCTCTGCTGACCATTACCATCATCATCACTCATTACTTACTTTTCTGCTGACCATTACCATCATCATCACTCATTACTTACTTTTCTGCTGACCATTACCATCATCATCACTCATTACTTACTGCTCTGCTGACCATTACCATCATCATCACTCATTACTTACTGCTCTGCTGACCATCACCATCATCATCACTCATTACTTACTTTTCTGCTGACCATTACCATCATCATCACTCATTACTTACTGCTCTGCTGACCATTACCATCATCATCACTCATTACTTACTGCACTGCTGACCATTACCATCGTTGTCACTCATTACTTACTGCTGTGCTGACCATTACCATCGTTCTCACTCATTACTTACTGCACTGCTGACCATTACCATCGTTCTCACTCATTACTTACTGCTCTGCTGACCATTACCATCATTATCATTCATTTATTACTGATCTGTTGACCATTACCATCATCGTCACTCATTTATTACTGCTGTGCTGACCATTACCATCGTTGTCACTCATTACTTACTGCTGTGCTGACCATTACCATCATTGTCACTCATTTATTACTGCTCTGCTGACCATTACCATCATTGTCACTCATTATTACTGCTCTGCTGACCATTACCATCATCGTCACTCATTACTTACTGCTCTGCTGACCATTACCATCATTGTCACTCATTACTTACTGCTCTGCTGACCATTACCATCATTGTCACTCATTTATTACTGCTGTGCTGACCATTACCATCATCGTCACTCATTACTTACTGCTCTGCTGACCATTACCATCATCATCACTCATTACTTACTGCACTGCTGACCATTACCATCATCATCACTCATTTATTACTGCTGTGTTGACCATTACCATCATTGTCACTCATTACTTACTGCTCTGTTGACCATTACCATCATTCTCACTCATTTATTACTGC